CAGGTATTCTGTCCTCAGGCAGAGTTCAGAGCTGCTTAGTAGCAACCTGGGTCACTGGATCAATACTAATTAGCAAACGCTTTATCAGTTCCCATCTTATAGCTCCTAGCTCCAATTATCCTATCCTTAAAATCTTTTTCAATTTTCTTTGGGATTCTCTCGTCCTGTTTCTTTCAACAGGCTGCCCAGCATGGCTCTTCTTGCATGTATAAATTTAAAATTTCAAAATAAGCCTCACAGAATTACTGCTATCTTTCCTGGACAATAGTGGAAAAGTGGATACCTCATACTTCACACCGCGACAGAAAAGATGTACAGTATGCCATTTGGCTTCTCTGAAATTATCTGTAGGATAGTAAATTAAATAAAGTTATAGCATGCTCAGTCCCAATTTGATATCTTTTTTTTACATCTACTCAACTCACACAAAATATTTCTAAAGTCTATTTCAAAAATGTGATTAAGCCTATATATCAAAATGAAACTAATGCAGTTTAACATGACTTTCACAGAATGAAAAAGAAACATTTGAAAATATAATGAATAAAGATCAATGGACATATCAGCATCGCAAAAAGGAACTTTTGTGAGTTCAAGTTATTCACAGATATTCTACCTAATGAATTCAGAAATAAACAAGGACTGCTTGCTTGTTAAAATTTTCAGCATTCTGAAAACCTGTCAAAACCTCCCTGTGTTCTTGGGATTAGTGAAATTTCATGTGAATCTTGCTTCTTTGATTGTGCCTTGAAATGTACATTCTTAGATGCATTCTAACTGGGGCCAATATTGTTGAAATGTAACTTAGAAGAGTAGATGAAGAAGAGGAAATTGAGCAAAGAATCTTAAATATTTTTTCTAGACAAAATTCTGTTACTTGTAATTAGTCTATTTACTGAATACTTCCTGCCATTCAGATGAAATGTTTTTGAAATGAACATCTTCACAAGAAAATAGTGGTTAACACTTGCATAAATGGACTCCAGCTTATATGTATAAAAGAACAATCTTGAGTCATAAAGGAGTGTGACATCAATAGTGAATTGTTCTTTTATACATATAAGCTGGAGTCCATTTATGCAAGTGTTAACCACTATTTTCTTGTGAAGATGTTCATTTCAAAAACATTTCATCTGAATGGCAGGAACACAAAATACTAGAATAAATATTTCAGATCCTAAATCTGGCAAAGATATTTCTATTACTAGATTGTTACAATCTGAATCATTCCACGTGATTTAAATAACTGGTATTGATGAGAAGATAAATTAAATAAGTGTTTCTATTTAATTTAATACACGATAGAAAATCGCATTTTAACTTGGGGGAAAAACAAACATAAACAGTACAATTACTGGAAAATATCATTAACCATTTATTTCATTGCCCTAGTTCAACTGACAATTATCTATCATCTTATTTTAATAAAGTTTGGTTGGTATTCTCAGAGATTTATTGTTGGCATTATGACAAGATGAATATGGAAATAATCATACTTCCTGTCTGCATAACACTGAATAAATGAGCCTTACTCAATTGCTACTGAATAATATACTTCTGACCTTTGGAATGAACTATAAGCATTGAAAAGGATTAGGCAATTCAAGTCAATTGAAGAAAGAAAATAATCTTAAAAATCTATTACAACAGATTCCATCCAGGCAAGAACATCACTTTCCATTGGGTTAATACAAATAAACTCAATTGCAGCTTTTAAAACAGGTTCTAATTTATTCTGCCAATGTAAACATTATCTACTCTATTGTACTTTATAGTCTTCCATGAAATACATTCTGTTTTGCAGATATCAAAATAGAATGAGTTTATTCATATTAGTAACCTCTGTTAATACGGTAAAGATGTGTCAAAGTGTTCCACATTTAGCCAAACGTTCATAGGACAATTCTGTAAGTAAAAGAACAGTAAACAGTATTAAGAAGGAAATTAGAAAATGTTTGATCAATGTGCTCTTAGTCTGCTTTGGGAAAAGAGATCAGAATGGAAGGCTGCAAAAATGAGAAGAAAGGGAAAGCTGGTAAGAAGAAAGAGACCTGGATGCATGATTATGATGGCAGTTTCTATGCTAGTCATGACTAGTAAATGATTCAATTCAACTGTGAGTGTGTGTGTTGTTATGTTTGAAAATAAAACCATTCAAATCTAATCACAAATATGTGGCAGAAAAAAGAAATTACAAAAAGAAGCTTAATGTTTAAGCATGTTGACTATACAATTAAGCATACTGTGATAAAACTGGAATATCAGATTATTAACAAAAGCTTAGTGATACCTTTGAAGGCAAAAATGTAGCAGAAATATACAGAATCAAGAAGAAAATGGAGACAATATTCTTGTTATATTAAATTCATGCCTATTAGTTCAGAGAACAGTCATATTGGTAGAGCTCAGCCAATAGCATAACAGCATTGACATTTAAACTTTCAGTGCTTTAATAATGCCTACTATACATGATTATTGTATAACATAGACAGATAAGGCTGTAAAGTTTCTGTTATCTCATTTTCATCTTGCTTTACAGCATTTGTTTTATAAAAGCTTAAATTTTTACTACTTCTTTTAAAATAAGTTTTTCCCTTGACACTTCACCACATGATGATATTATGAATAAAAATGAGTTCTCTGTTATTTACAGAGAGACAGACACACAAAATCAGTATACAAGGAATATATTGTTCAATGATTAATGTTAGAAATAAGTAATGTTTTTATGATCCTAAGATGACTTATTCAAAATTAAAATAGGTTCTGTAGTTTGGAAAGTTACTAACATGTTTCCTCCAAAATAAACCCCACCCCGAAAAAAAGACCTATCCTGATTTGTGGGGGTGGACCTAATATAAGCCCTACTCCAAAAATAAGCCCTAATTAGGACCCCGCCCACTCTTCCCTGGCTGCTGCAATGGGGCAGGAGGCCGCATGGTGCACCGTGTCGCTGCCGCCACAATGAAGCGAGGCAGGTGGGGAAGGGGGTGGAGCTGCCCCACATGCCCTGCACCCGCTTCTTTAGCCCCCCCAGCCAGGCCATTCCTTGCTCCCTTTCACTTCCCACCCGAGCTAGACTACCGCATGGAGGATGGGCGGGGTAGACCTGGTCCCCCTCTGTCATTTCGGAGCCATGCTGCTTTCCACTGCTGCTGTGCACCGCTGGAGGGGCTTTCTTGAAGCTATGACCCACAGATACCTGCCTGGTAGCAGACGCCATCTTCTTCTCCTCCACCAACTCTCCCGTGGCTTGCACTATGACCACCGCCTCCCTCCACCAACCCTCCATCGCTGCCACTGGAGAGAACGGAGAATGGGGAGGGGAACAGCTCTGCACAGCGATGTAGCAGAGAAGAGCAAATTTATTCACTAACCTGCTTTCCAGTTCAGTCAGACCTTCCAATTTCTCATTAAAAAAAAAAGATCTTGCGAAGTTGGAAGGTCTGACTGAACTTTTTTTAGTCTCAAGAAATCCATTTCCCTGCAGCAGGAGAGAAATGCACCAGAGCTGGAAAGCAGGTTAGTGAAGAATTTTTTTTTGCTTTCGGGAAGAGGGAGGAACTAGGCGATGATGCACCAAGCTCTATAGCAGCGCCGGGATGAAAAGTGCAGGAAACGGGGCTGCCATTTCAAGAACGAAGAAGGGAGATGCAGGGCGATGCAGGGCAGCAAGCAAGTGCTCTTCTCTGCTCTGTATCACTGTGCAGAACTGTTCCCCGCCCTGTTCTCTGCAGTGGCGGAAACAGAGGGCTAGTGGAGGAAGGCAGCGGTCACAGCGCAAGCCACGGGACAGTTGGCAGAGGAGGCGGCTGCTGCTGCCAGGCAAGTGATCTGTGGGTTGGAACGTGAAGAAAGCCCCTCCAGTGGCGCACAGCGGTAGCGGAGCCTTTCGCTGTCACTCCCCCCTGGCTCCAAAATGGTGTAGGGGGACCAGTTCTACCCCACCCATCCTCCGTGTAGTAGCATGGCAGTCCAGCTTGGGAGGGGAGACAAAGGGAGAAAGGAATGGCCTGACTGGGGTGGGGGGTGAAGGAGGCATGTGCGGGACACGTGGGGCAGCTCCACCCCTTCCCCATCTGCCTCGCCTCATTGTGGTGACAGCAGCGTGATGTGCTGCACGGCCTCCTCCCGCGAACAGCCGCAGAAGTGGGCCAGCAGCCATGCAGGCTCCTGCTGGATAGGGCTGTCGAGACAGGTGTCACGGTAAATATAAGACACCACCCGAAAGTAAGACCTAATGCCTCTTTCGTAGGCAAAAATAATATAAGACCAGGTCTTACTTTCGGGGAAACACGGTACTTATTTTTGATTTGCCCTAATTAAAACAACATTCTGTAAGTCAAAAGTTTACTTGCATTAATAAATTATGAAGGTTCATAACGGTAGCTGGTACATTATTTTAATTGCTAATAAATTCATGCTTTCTAATCTGGAATCATGGCAATTACACAGAAAGCAAAATATCTACAATGCATAGCTTGTGAAACACACAGTTTGATTATTAGGGTTTTTTTGTTCTAATTCCTAACAAACCAAAGAGATGCCAGGATGAACAGTGAATACAGCAATACTCATTACTGCCTATTAAACAATGAGATGGAAGCTCGATTAAGGAATTTCCAAGTCTGACAGAATTTTGTGGTTAAGAACAACATTTCAAAGGTTTAACATGAGGCCTTAGATAAATGTTCAAGATTTCATAAACCAAGTCTGAATTCCAATGATATATCACCCAAAAAGCTCTCTAAAATATTATCTTTTTAAGAACTACATTTAATTGGTAGACTAAATTGCTGTAATTTTCTTATCCTTATAGTTGTTCTAAAATATTGTAAATTAATTAGTGTATTTGTAATATTTGAATTCTGGGAGAATAAATAGATTCATGCAACTATTGGCATATTATTTTCACATGCACTGTGATTGGCAGCCCTGTAATTTTAGTAAGCTGCTTTCACCAAAATTGTTATGGCAACCACCCTACAGTTAATTCTTACCTGTTCTCTGGCCATCCATTGTACTGAGCTTAGTCTCGTCAGCTACTGTTAAAAGGTAAATGTATAATGGTTAGCTTTGTTAGTGCCCACGTCCCTCATGCATCCACTGTTTATTTAGAGGACCTTGCCAATATCACTACTCATGCAAACATGTCATATTATTCAGACACTCTTAAGGGGCAAAATGAAGCCCTAGAGAAAAATATTTAGAAAATCCATGCTTTTGTGTCAGTTATTTCTGGATCACAGGCAAACGTAATATGTTATTCACATGCTAGCATGTCTCAATTAGCTGAGGCAAGACCACCACATATCAGCAAGTAGCAATTTGAGTTTTAAAAGCCCCAGTGGGGTTATAAAAACTGCAAATGTCTACATATTTATTACATTTTCTCACACTTAAAAAAACATATCAAAGCTCATGAATCTTCCCAAGAGATATGCAAAAAGCTTGGTTAGAGAGGCTGAATTTGAATTATTAAATGAGTTACTAGATTTACTATTGCTAGCTTTCGTTCAGCGTTATCCCTGAGATATGAACCTGTAGGATTTCAAGATTAGTTACTGCTGTCAGAATAATGAATTTATTGAGAATTTAGAAATTAAGCTAATAAAATGGTAGTAGCAGTTTTAAATGAATACCAGTCACTAATATATTCCAGAAGACTTTTAAGAGAAACCTGTCAATTATGTTGTAGTATTTTATTTCAGAAGGACGTGCATTAATCTGAGTAATTTCTTTAAAATAAGATACACTGTAGGCTAAATTTTTCCATTAAGATCTGTGATACTTTAAAGTGGGCACAGCAATCTACAGATATACATATGTACATACAATGTACATACAATCTATACATACATATATACATACAATGTATACATATGTATACATTGTATGTACATTTGTGTATATGCTCCTGTTACTTGCCCTAGCTCCTGCCCACCTAGTAGTTCAAAACATGCAAATGCAAGTAGATTGATAGGTAACAGCATTCTGTGTACCTTTGGTATATAGTTATGCTAGCCACATGACTATGGAAACGGAGATGAGCACCATGCACCATAGAGTTGGTCATAACTGACAGAGAAACTTTTACCTTTTATTCCAAATGTGCTTTTTCAAAACACAATTGGACTTTCTTTTTCTTTGAAGACGTTTGGCTTCTCATTCAAGAAGCTTCTTCAGTTCTAATTCCAGTCAGAACTGAAAAAGCTTCTTGGATGAGAAGTGAAACGAAGTCCAGTTGTCTTTTGAAAAAGTACTTTTGGGACAACCATGAGATGGATGATTGAGAATTTTCACCGACTTTATCTTTTATACATTCTATGCAGTAATCTGACCTATTGATAGCTGTCACTTACAATTGCTGAGCTTTTCTCAAGATCAGCCTTTTCTGATGAAACAAGATATTATTTCAATGAAAACCTTGGCCACAATAAATGTTTTGGTTTGTAGGGATCTATAGCTTTTTCACTCTTTCAGCTATAGTAGACTCTCTTAGAATTCTTTAGAAGGCCACGTCTAAGCCAGACTGACACTGCAAGTCAATGGATCAGAATTCTGCCATTTCTCACTTTTTTAACACTACCTTAATACAGTTCAAAGCTACCTCTATCTTTTTGCTGAAACTACACTTAAGACTAAACTGAAGAATGGTTAGACCCATGAACAATGTCACAAGCAGATGATTCTTCCCCTATTGACCACATTCCTATCATTTACATCAAACCATGCAAATTGGATTCTCTATCGCTTGTAAAATTGAAATACAGTTGTCCCATAGCATGTGCAGTTGTCACTGTAGGTTATTCCTTCAACCAAGTCCCATTCACTATCCCTGTTTAGGTCCATCTCTATTGCCTTTAGCCACATATGTCATTACAAGTAATGGGATTAAACATCCCAGCTGTTAAATGATTACAGATTAAACTAAAGCCGAATGTCTAAGGTTCTTAGAATTATGTTAGAATCATTTGTTAGAGAAAGGTTTTAGCAATGCTAGAAACAACGAGAAGTATGTTTTTGCAGAATTATTTTAAAATACAAATTTGAATTTGTGGTTTCCATCTTCTGAAAACTATCTATTCAAAGAGATATGTTTACAGCTGCTGTATATACTGAACAATCCTGCAACAGCTAAATCTATACAACCATAACATGTTAAACAAACATTAAAATTGTTAAAGCACATATAATGCACTTGGCTTGATCATATTTAATTTTTTTCATGCCACATATTGAACTCAGCTCCATGGGATAATCAACTACATAGTATTACAAATAATTTAAATGGCAACAGGAAACAACAAGCAAAATTATTTCAATATACCATTGAAACACAACAATGAACAAAGAAGAGAAAAGAAAAGAAAGACTATGATCAATACCTAAATCCATGCTTTTAGATTTCCGTGTTTTAACAATGTCTAATTGGCTGGCATCTGAAAACTGCTTAGCACGCTTTTCTGACATACTCTGACGTCCAAATCCTTCTCGTTGGAAAGTCAGCTCTGGATCCATATCTGGACTTAGTATGCTGTAAGAAATAAAGAAAACTTAACTAAAGCATACATGTATGTTATATCATTAGCTTATCAATAAAAGATCAAGAAAAGTTGGAAATCATGAGGATATTTTATTTTATTATTTTGTTTTATTTTACTTTACTATTATTTTACTTTATTGTACTTTATTTTATTTTATTATTTATTTATTTGTGTTAGCCCCATGAATATAGAATTCTTACCCTTTCAATTCAGTTTTTAAAATGAGTTTCAAGTGAATGAAATATTCTAACTGTCAGATTAATTTATACCCCATAAACTGTCCTGGAATTTTTAAAAAAAAAAATATGCTGAAAGGAAACCTAAAGATTCCATTATGTGAATAATGGAATTAAAATTCAAAATTCAGTTTCTTCAGTCTGAAATTCTCACAGTGAGTTGCAGGTGGAAATTTCATGCCTGCATCTCCAGCTGGCTCTTAGATATCCTTATCACTTCTTTTTTTAAAAAACCCAGTAGACTGAACAAGCTACATAAAAACTTCAGATTGAATACCAATATAGAAAGAGAAGGTTTCTCTTTATAGATTAAGATTTGCCAGAAATATGTAAGTTTTTAATCAGAACTAACTTGTTGGATAGTATGTAGTGGTGTGTTGCATTATTGAACAGCCTTGGTAACACAGTGGTTAGAATGCAGTACTGCTCATTAGTACTGCTACCTAACACTGCAACACCCAGGAGTTTGATCCTTACTGGCTCAAGGTTAACTCAGCCTTCCCACTAAAATGAGGACCCAGATTGGTGGGGGCAATATGTTGATATTTATAAATCACCTAGAGAATGCCTTAAAGCATTATGGGGTAATATATAAGTAGTATATAAATCAATGTAAAATGTGTTTTTCTCTTGATAGCAGTGACAAGACTTTGTTGAACTTCAAATCTTATCAGCCTTAGCCAATGTAGCCCATGGATGGTCATTATAGAGTTTGTCACTCACTAGTGTTTAGCAGGAACAATGTCTGAAGTTCGTTTATGAGGATCTAATCCCTTTTCCAATTCTATCCATTTTTTAAAATAAATAAACATTCACATTTTAGCCAAACTGCATCAAACTCAGTAGCAATATCAATTTAATTCAAATCAAACTCTGTTGCACACATTGGTCAATCAGAGGATTATAGAGTAGTTGCTCAATCTTGTTTGGAATAGAACTTCATTCCATTGAAGATGGAGGGATTTTCAAGCAGCAACTGCTAGTAATGCCATTTATTTACAGGTGGTCCTCAACTTATAGCATTCATTTAGTGACCATTTAAAGTTATAATGGCATTGAAAAAAGTGGCTTATGGCTGTTTTTCACACTTATAATTGTTACAGTATCCTTATGGTCATGTGATCAAATTTCAGGAGCTTGAAAACTGGTATGTATTTATGAAGGATGTTATGTCCAGGAGTCATATGATCACTTTTTCCAACCTTCTACAAACAAAGTAAATAAGGAAACCAAATTCAATTAACAACTGAGTTATTAACTTAATAACTAATCTGCGCATGCTCAAGATGGCGGATCGTCAGCGGAACGCTCCGTAAGGATTTCGACCCGGCAAGTGGACATGGGGTGTTTTGGGGGTGCCTCGGGGGGGCTTGCGGTGATGAGCGGGTGGGCGAACCCCCGCTCGGTCCCGTTCTAGCCCACCCGGCCCGTTTTAGGCCCGCCCTGACCCGTTCGGCTCCCCTCTAG